GAATGTGTGTCCTAAGTCCTAAAAAACTCATGGTTTCGCGACCTGTTAACACGTGAAACCCTCCTCCGAGGGATGAGCCCTTGATACGGACCGATGCGGAAGACTATGATGACCCTAGGACGAGCACCTCGCCAAAAGCATACACGCCAAGGCGAATGGGGCCTTTTACGCCTCATCACCTCCTCAACGGACGGTGGCCCCCTCGGCATGCTAGGGCAAAAGAGGCCCTACACGCCTCATCACCTCTGTAGAGTATGGTGACCCCCTCGACTACCTATACTTAGCGCAATAAAAATTGTGACACCAACTACCTTGACGGTTCACTTCGGCTCAAGCCCTCGACTTCGTCGAGGGAAAGCTTCGGCCTCCCCTAAGGAAACACTTGGCGAGAAACAAGCTAGGTGAACTACACCCCTATAGTGCTGTCCCACCTCGGCTCCTCATCCTCCCAAGTACTTCGGCGATATACCTCGACCAACGACCTCGGCTACGATGCCAAGTCACCTCGGCCTTGCCTAAGTTGACACTGAAGGAATTTTGGAGCCGGGCAAGTCTCACTCTGTACGTGTGGCCCCGCCTCGACTCCCAATGCCCTAATTACTTAAAGTGAGCGTGCAAACCAACTACGTGTACTATGAGCGAACCGTGCGTGTTTTGTGTGTTGTGGTCCTGTTATTCAGAGGGGCAAGGACCTCTCAAAGAAGAAGAAAGAAGAGAAAGAAGGAAAAAGACACAACATACACAAGGCACAAACGCATGCAAAAAATGGCTTCATTCATCATTAATTTTCTATGTTGCCTTTACAAAAAGTTTTTGAAGGCCTCGTAGGCCAAGTATATGTAAATTCACAAAAAAAAAGAAGAACAAAAACAACAGCTAAACAAAAAGAAAGAGGTGGGGCGGGGGAGATCCACGCCTAGGCCTTACCACCGGCAGGAGGAACGGAGTCGTCAGTAGGCTGGGCTTCGTTGGGAGCATCGAGGATCACCTGCAGCCCCTCGACGTTGAAATATGACATCACCAGTAGGAGTTCCTTCTTCGTTTCCTCAATCCCATCAAGGTAGGATGATGAAGTGTACTTTGCAAGTGCATTCTAATAGTCGGAGGACTTCTTGTATGCCTCCACCGCTTCGGCCGCTACCTTCTTGGACTGCTCTGCTAACGCCATAGCCTCGGTAGCCTTCTTCTCTGCCTTAACAACCCTTCCATCATCCTTGGCTGCCTCTCTCTGCCTTGGAGACAATGCTCTCCAGACGAACTCTTTCCACTTGTTCCTTGGAAGGACCTTGTTGCGCCTCCTTCAACTGAATTTCGAGGCGCTCCCGAACTGACTGCTTGTCCAAGAACGCCTTCCTAAACTTTTGGTATTTCTCCTTGGTGATGGCTCTTCTGGAACTTTTCTCGTTCCTTCTAGAGCTTCTCTTCAGCGGACTTCTTCTCCTTCTCCACCTTATCGATGCAGGACATCGTCAGTCTCATTCGGTCCCCCAAACCGATGAAGTGCAGGTAGGCCTGCAACAGAACCAGTTAGTGAATGAAAGAGTAGGAAGAGAAGGAAATACATAAAGCAAAAATGTATGTGTCTTACCTCGGCTAGGTGGTACAGGCCCTCGTTGTAGATAGCCTTGGGGTCACTTTGTAGCAAACGGTAGCGGTCCCTTGGCAAGATCGCCTCGCTCACCAGGGCCTGATTGACCCCCTCGTCCTAGATGGAGTCCCCTTTTCGGAGCTGCCACTGTGAATAGAAGATTTTATTGGCCCCCTTGGCTCTCTCGGGGAGCTTCTGTACTGATAGCGGAGCTAAAGATGGCCTGGATGGACACTCCCCGGGCGTGGACCTCCTCGCCACCTCCTCTGCCTGGCACTCCGCATTGGCCACCTTTTGTGGCGGCTCCTCCCTCGGCGTATCTATGGCGGGCCTCTTCCGACCCGCCTCGGCCCCCTCCGTGGACCTCTTCGGCACCTTGGCCCCCTCCGAGGGCCTCTTCACCCCACTGGCAAGCTCTTGGGGTGCCACCATTGGTTGCTTCCCCTTGGCGGGGACCTGCTGATTTCCCCCCTTCATCGAGACAGGGAGACAACCTCTTCGTTGAGCCACTTTGGCGTTTGTCTTCCGGCCTGCTTCGCCCAGTCCTTCTCGAGCAAGCGTTGCTTGGTGTCCATTGGCACTTCTGCGAACAACAAAAGAAAACGATCAGTATAACAAGGCAAAGACGTGGAAGGTGTGCTACGTAACTATAAAACCTCAGAGGGGTAGGGCTAATCCCAACGAACACTGGGGGGATCTCCTCCTCCACCAATGACTTCGCCTGGAATGTGCTCATCACAAGCAGATGAGCTATGGCTGCAGCCTCTTCATCTCGGAGCAGAGGGGGACATCTCTCGATGACTACATAGGCCTCCCCCTAATCAGGCTTGAACCTCCAGCCTTCGGGGTAGGAGACGTAAAAGAACTTGTCCTACCACCCATGGACGGACGAGGGGTTGTGCACCGGCTTCCCTCTCTGAGGGTGGAAGTAATACATGTTGGCCTCGGAAGCGTGCTTCCTTGGTGTGAACATGGCACGGAACATCTTCAATGTCAGCTCTACACCCCGAAGCCAAGCCCACACTAGCATTGCTATGATGGACCTAAGGGCATTAGGGACGAGTTGACTGATAGTGATATCGTACCACTCCAGTGACTTAGAGATTAAGGAAGGGAGGGGAAACCTAAGGCCAGACTCTAAAAAATGCTAGTAGACATAGATTTTCCCCTCCTTAGGGGTCCACGGTTGATCACCTACATTGGGGACCCTAAGGTCATAGGACTAGGGTATGTGGAATCTCCTCGCCAGGGATTTGACCTGCCCCACATCCAAGGAGTTGTCAAACTTCGAGCGTGGGACACCAACATCAGCTACCCTTCGGGCAGCACTCCCTCCCACCGGTCCAGCGGCGATCTCTACAATGTCTTCCTCCTCAAAGAGTGGAGACCCTTCGGGCTCTCTCGGCGACACTGAAGTGGCGCTTTCATGGGGAGAGTTATTGCCCCGACGGCAGTCCTCAGCGTCCCCCGAGGCTACCATCTCTCTTAGTACGACTACCTCCCGTCGAAGAGGAGCTATGACCAAAGAGCCTAAGGAGGAGAGGGGGGAAGGGGTTTCAGGAGAGCTCCCTCTCGAGGTGTTCGGGAGTTCATGGCATTCAGGGCCAGAGTCTGAGAACGACATAGTGAATTACCTAGACTATGAAGAAGGTGAAGATGGGGTGTCCTGAAGGATGGAGAACCTAGGAAAGTCTTGAAGGATCGAGAGCTTGGGAGTTGAGTTCACTCGAAAACAAGGGCGCCTAAGTTCAAATGACGGGGAAAGTCACCACCAGGGCCCTTATTTAAAGGAAAATGGATGACCCAGATCTCGCTAGATCCGACGGCTAAAGCACCTCCGCTTCCACCATCCAACCATGATGTGCCACTCGGCGCTCATCCTCGGAAGACGAAACGACGCCCAAGAAACGACTCAGATCACTATGGATTCGATGGTGATGGGAACCCTCTACTTCTACGAACCAACTATACCACACCTCCCAGTGCGTGCCCTCGGAAGACGAAACGACGCTGGGTGAATTGCGAGGCTCACTCATAGGGTGAACCGCAGGGCCTACCCATCGTGACCTACCAGGCAGACTGCTCAACCCGGCAAACGCATGCCTATCTGGGTGACCGTCCTCCATATGGTGGACCCCTGACGTGGTCTGACCGTATGTGATATGGACCATCCCCGCTAACCCGAGGCATCCACGCCACACGCATCTCCGAACCGATGAAGAGGGAAGACGCACACGAAGTGAAAGCGACGCCACTGTAGGATACCCCTCAGCTGACGAATCCGAAGGCTTAGCGATCGCTATTCCCGACGACCAAATCTGAGGCCTTACCCCGACTATCATTTCCATTACTAGCCGAAGCCAAGACCTCGCTTCGGCCTACGGGAGTGGGGGGCAAGTGATGTGGGCTAGCTAGGCCCAACCCATTACGGATTGGGAGGCCCAGCCCACTAACGCCTGACAGCACCAGCCACAACAAGGGGGGAAGCCCTGTTGCCTTCGTACGGAGCCAACCACGGAGCAGTTAGGCGTACTCACAAGGACCTGTCGCCTGACTTCGTACGGCCCTCATCTAGTGCATTCATCTCCACCTGCCTCCAGCTCGCTCAAGTATCAATATGAGGTAAATCTTCCTTGACAAGGGATCCAAATCCCAGAATTCTGATACAACTCTCTCATTTACTCCTAGCACCTACCTTGCTTCCCTAGCATTTACTCCTGGGGACCCAGTGCATTCGAGGACTACCGTCAAGGCCTTGTTTGCACCTCCTCATACCTCACACCTCATACCAACTTGAGCATTGGAGCTTTCGCCTCGGATCTCCACCCGAGGCCTCTGACACCTCTTGTTTTGCAGAACCTCGGATCTCCAGAAACCTCATTATCGAGATGACGACCTGTAGTCTTCGGCTCCTACCGTACTCAGAAGGGAGCACCTCACCTCAACCTACAGTCCTTGGCCTCGGTTTACCTCCCTTCGGAATCCTCAAAGCTTTCGGCCAGCCTTTGAAACTTGAGAGTGAATTTATTTCGTTGCCCTCGGCCAATCCGAGCTGCAACAAGGATATATAAGAATTTTTTTACACTAAAATTTAAAACGTAAGTATACTTTAATGATAATATCATTGGATTGGATGGTCATTTGGTCACAAATTGGATCACTTTATGCATGGGATGCTTTCCGGTTTCCAAAACTGACCGAGTGCTGAACGCGAGGGTCCCTCGTCACTTCATGCATCGCACGGTAAGAGGAGGGGGGGGGGGAGGAAATCACAATTAGTGAACTGGACTGTGCTATCAATTTTTTTTTTTTTAATTAGAGTGGAAATTAAAGGTACCATCTGGCTCAGCCACCTACACCCATCCCAAGTTTACCAGCCAAGAAAAAAAGATTTAGGGTGGAAAGTTGGAAATCAAACTCCAAAGCTCAGGGCACAAGCTGAACATTTCCTCAATCAGGGCCCAATTAAAGGTACCAGCTGACAATTGAACGCAAAGCTATATTAAATCAAGTCCTCACTCAGGGCACAAGCAGTAGAGGTAACATTCAAAGATTGAAAGAATGACATGAAAAAAATGAAATAATAAACGCAAACTTTGTATTTCTACAGATACAAAAATCCACGTGAATGCTTGATTTCCAAATCAGAAACTGAAGTCGATAAGTCCAGTCTCACTTGAACATTTCCTCAACCACCAAGTCACCTCCCACTCTGTTAAAACCTGTTTTACATAATCTGAGATAGTCATGTACTCTCATCACACCTGTTCATCAAGCATATCCAATTCCCAAAATAACATCAGAAACCAATAGCCTTTCCACATAAGAAACAAAACACATACAAAGTTGTTTTGGACTGAGGTAAAATTAGTACTTTTTCTTTTTAATAGCAAGGTCAATTGGTAGTTCAGGTAATAAATTGCATATTTCTACAGTCTACGGTGGAACATGTGCTGATATGCAAGACCACTTAATTTCACAAGGTGCCGTTTTTTAATTTGATTAACTGGCTAATAAGAAAAACAAAGAATGTAAAAACAAATGGGGTCATCAATTTTGTCAGGAACTTAGACCACACGGACAATGTTTGCAGATGTGCATCAGTCTCCTTGAGTATGTACAGGAGGCAGCCAACATCACTTAAGAAATTCAAAACCGCTGATTATCCACAAAATTTGTACAAATAGTCATCTGATCAGAATCTTTTTTTTTTCCTTACTCTGACTTAATTGGTAAACAATCAACGTTTTTCTTAAGAAAGTAGAATGAAAATATGCCTTTAGATTCAAATTATGAATTCTTGGATTTGGATAGACCAAACCATCAATTTATGTTAGGCAACACATTTCAAGCCTCATACCCACAGATTTTATACTCTTGTAGCCCAGAAACGTTAAAATGTTCTTCCACAAGGAAAGACCTCTTCCCGTGGCCTTGATTGATTTAATTACAGTCGATGACTCATTGCTTAAAATCATAGATGAATTTGTGGACTTCAGTATGGATAATCTATATCTATATACATAATCTATATATATAATAGAAAAAGAAAAGAGGGGAGGTGAGGGGTCCTCTCACCACAGAGCTCACATGTGTGTATTTATTTTAAATGAAATCATTGAAAATATAACAAGGAAAGTTAAACCCCTCATGGAGTTTCATTGTCTCTTATAAAATCCACATTTACTCTCTAATAAGACTGTTCTTAACTCTCTCTCTCTCTCTCTCTCACCTTAATAGTCAATGTTTGTAACATCTCCCCTCCCCATTAAATCCCTCTTTTCCTCTTAAATCTCTTTTAGTCCCTTTTTTCTCTCTCTAAAGTAGGGGCATGATTGGGTTAGGTTATGGGCCAACCTAAAATATGAACCCTAGCTTGGACCCAAACTAATATCCAATGCATGGGGTCAACTGATTTTCTTCTTATATAAAAGTGTAAAAAAACCATTTCTCCTTTTCATGGGTTATTAGTTTTTTCTATTTTTTATTAATTTAATGTAGATTTGTTTGATGGATTTTTCTGGTTCAACAATAAAATGTAGTAAGAAAGCACTTAACATGAGTCTTTTCATCAATTCAATTTTAAAATTGTTTTTTAGCTTGGTTATTGATCTCATGTTAAGCACATTTGTTCGGATTTATAGGGCTACACAACTGTGAGGGTAGCCCATTCCCCAAACCCTTAACCCCCTAACCTTAGTGGCAGGGGGATTTGATCCTAGGTATCTACTACAACTACTCAAAGAACCTATCAACTAAGTCGCCATCATTTGGTTCTCATGCTAAGGTAGCGTTTGATAACACTTTTCAAATGTCTAAAGTCTGAAATATCTGCTTTTCAGATGCAATGCTTATTTGGTTTTGCATTTGAAATATGATCTGAAAAGTTCTTTCAGATCTGAAATTGTAAGACCTAGGCCCATCACTTAACGCGCTCAGACATGTTTCAGATGTTGCCTAAAGTCGAAAATACCCCTACCCCATTTGATCTCTCTCTCTCTCTCTCTCTCTCTCTCTCACACACACACACACACACACACACACACACACACAAACAACACACATCTTCCTGCCATCGCCACTGCAACTCTCAACAGTGGCAGCTTTCTCTCTTTCTCATCAGCGACGCTTGCTTTCAAGAGGATGAGGGATCAATAATTAATAATAATTATTAATTATAAGTTATTTTCACTAATTATTAATTATTAATTATTTTAAATTTTTATTAAACATTAATTTTTTTTTATTAATTTTACTTGTGTTATTTATTAATTATTAATTATTTTTATTAATTAGTAATTTTTATTTGTGTAAATTATTAATTATTAATTATTTTAATATTTTTATAGTCATTAATTATTTTTTAATTTTAATCGTTTCATTTATTAATTAGTAATTTTTACTACTAATTTATTATTTTTTATTCGTATTGTTTCAATATTATTTTGAAGTTGAAAATTATTTTTTATGAGATAATGTGAATTGAACTCAACATTTCCAAATAGTATGTTCTAGGGGTAAAATAGTAAAATCAATGAATTTTAGATGGTAAAGGGTTAATCCAATACAAACAAACTTATCGTTCAGAGCCTCTAAAAAGTGGAAAAGCACCTACGCTTCTTTTCAGATTTCAGACATACTATCTTTTTAACTTTTCAGATTTATCAAATGCCACCTAGGTAGTTTTATTTGTGTACTTCTCAATATATATATATAGATAACTGATATATATAACTGAAAAAGAAAAGAAATATTTTACTACTGTATATGTAAAAACTTTGGTGAATCAATGCTACTTCATTTTCTCTTAAAAATACATTTTTAAGAAGCAACCTGTGCATCGCATAGGTCACATTTTTTAAAATAAATGTGCATACTTATTTTTAAATTAAAACATTAAAAATATAACAAGTCAAAGTTAAAACCTCATGGGTCTTTATTGTCTCTCATAAAATCCATATTTACTCTCTAATAAGACTATTCTTAAATCTCTCTCTCTCTCTCTCTCTCTCTCTCTAACCTTAATAGTCAATGTCTGTAACATCTCCCCTCCCATTAAATCCCTATTTTCCTCTTAAATACCTCTTAATCCCTTTTGGCTCACTCTAATAAAGTAGGGGTGTAAATTAGATGGGTTGGGTTAGGTTAAGGGTCAACCTAAATATGAACCTTAGCTTGGACCCAAATTTGCCCACCAGTACATGGGTTGAACCAATCTAAAGAAATCATTGCTCCTTTACTTGGGTTATCAGTTTTTTTTTTTTTTTTTTTATTTGAAACAATAACTTTCATTAAGGATATCAAATAAACATCTTACACTGTCAACCACTCAGACAAAGAGTGTTGACCCCAAAATAACATCGAGAGTTACATTACAACCCAAAAAAAGTTTTCCCTGAATGCCCCCTGTTTTGCCAAGCTATCTGCCACAGAGTTTGCTGATCTCCTTACCCATTGGGTTATCAGGTATTTCCCTCTGTTTTTATTAATTTAATTTAATGTAGATTTATTTCATGGATTGTTCTGGTTCAATAATAAAATGTAGTAAGAAAGAACTTAACATGAGTTTTTTGGTTATCTTCATTAGTTCAATTTTGAAATTGTTTTTTTAACTTGGTTATTAATCTCATGCTAAGCACATTTTTGGCTTTATAGGGCTACACAATGGGGGTAAGCCCATCTCCCCAACCCAAGTCTTTGCTACAACTAGCTAGATAATGTATCAACTGAGCCACCATCAATAGGTCTATGTGCTTCTCATAATATATAAACTATATAAAAAAGAAAGTTCGAAGCCCACTAACTAAAAAAGAAAAGAAATTATTTTTTCTACTATTTTACCTATAAAAAAGTAGAAATATATGAAAAACTTTGGTGAATCACTGTTACTTCATTTTCTCCCTTAAAAGTATATTTTTAAACAGCATCCCGTCATCACACGGATCACCGCTAGTATCATTAGAAGCTGGTTTAATTTTGGTGTGTTATCTATAAGTAGAGGACCGCCATCAATATCTGGGTCCCCACTCYGATGGATGTAATTAAACTCAATTTTGATGGATGCTGTACAGAGACCCCAGGGATATCAGTAATAGGAGGGGCATTCGGGAATCATGTTGGAAATGTGATATTGATAGAGGTGACTGTGTTCGGATTGGTCCAGGTTGAGCTAATCTGGAACCTTGCCCTACAGATTAGTAGTGTTCAATCATGCTTAGTCCATCCATGAAGGAAGAAATGCTGGATTAAGGTACAAAACATCTTGTTGTGTTCAGATGGACCATACCCTTCTAGGGTAGGCAATTGGGGATTTGTAATCTTGGGGGGTAAGCTATTGATGTAACGTTTCTGGGAGGTATAGGCTCACTCACATCTCTGATGAGTTTTTTCTTATTCAGTAATTGTTATACTAATAATATCCCTGATCTAATAACAATCAAAAAGAAAAAAAAAAAAAAACATTGTTGGAAATATCACTTGAGTTTCTAATCAAGACTTGAGATTTGTGGTAGTTAATATTGATAGGCTAATACATATGGTAATGTTGCCAATATCAACTTCTAAGGGTGCAACAGAAATATTAACACCAAAGGGATCTTTTATCATGTTATATTTGTTGTAAGAGAGATTTGAACCTCTGAATGCAATTGTGAAAGGATGCATAATCAGAAAGGAAATGACCAGAGGAAGGAGCATACATGTAGCAAAATAACTGGAATCATACACCATAGCTCTCGCCATCATCACCGTCCAATAGCTGCTGGAGTTGTTGAAGACCCTATATAGTTCAGGTGAACTTCTTGAGGTAGAAGATGATACTTAATGTCAAGCTCTTCAAATATTTTCTTCAGCTCAACAACTAGTTCAGATCTCCTTTTGGTCTTCTCCCCATAATTCTGATGGTTCATGGTATGAAGAACATAGAGAGCCATCTTCATCTTGTTCACATCCTCAATCTCCTTCACCACCACACTATGGTTAGGATGCCAGTGCTGTGGTTTGTTATCTATATACCTGAAGCCAAACAAGAGCAAATTTATCCCCTCAACATAATTCAAATAACAAAAATAAATGCTATGAAGGCATTAAAGATCCAACTAGCTAACAAGGTTAGATCCTGTACTTAATAAGTTTAAACAAATAATAATAAATAGCAATGACAATCTGAAAGCAAAATGCATATGATTTACCATGAAAATCAATAAAAGACATCACAGATTGCCTTAGCGTTGGTTTATCTGGGAGATGACCTCACTCAATCCTCATTCACATACATATAGTGGTTGAACAAAGGCCGGAGATTGCAGCCGACAATATGACTTAAAAAATATGAACAGATATTGACTGGAGAGATCCCTACCCTACAAGCATGCTACACAGTGTGTAACTTTATGCACCTAATACAAAGCAGGGGTTAAGATTTCAACCACATAAGGAAAAAAAAGAAGAAAAAAAAAGAGAATGAGCAAAAGGAGTCTAGGATGATTCATTCATCCTAGGCCTGCACACGATAAAATTCGGCATCCTTGACACCACCATTTAGGACAGTTGTAGAGAAATGATCTCAATCTATATGTTACTTCCCCCCTTCAAACAAAAATCCGGGAGATTTTCTCTTTCCATACAGACTAGAAAAATGCAGAAAGTAGCAGTTTCTCTGAAAACTTTCCTATTCCCTAGAAAAAAGATCATTATCCAACTACTCAATGTTGGTCCCAGAAAATCCAGATCATGGGAGGGGTGGATGGGATACATAGATAAGCTTTGGCATTTTCTTGCACAATGTGGCAACTCTGAGACTCAAACCTGTGTGGCTGTGTTTTCATGCTTGTCAGCCCAAGAGGTTGTTCTTCCCTAGATCTGTAAGAATTATGCAGCCCAGATTTTAAAAGGAGACTAGTTAAGAGATATATGGTTACAAATGACAGAGATCTTTGATAGTATTTACTTATAAAGTGACCTCTGAAGCTCCATTAAGAATATTTTACACCAACAAGCCATGGCCGGATTTTTCAGGTCCTCTATTGAGGTTGTTTTCTTCTAGGAAGAAGAGAAGAAAGGAAGAGGAAAAGAGAAGAAGGAAGAGAAGAAGAAGAGAAGAGAAGAGCAGCTGTTTGGGAGCAAAAACTTAGGCTGGCGGCACCCAGCCTTCTATTTATATTAATGAGATGAAAAATAAAAGATGAGGAATTACAATCTTGCCCCTGGCGGCACACCCTAATAAAAAAAGTAGTAACAATCTGACAGCACTCTAAGACTGACAGCATAAACTATAACAGCAGAAACAATTAACAAATCATTCTAACAACAGAGGTCAATTACAGTAGATATTAATCTTATAAAAAAGTAGCAATTACCTTTATTGCCCAAGGCAATAACATCTCTTCACATCACCCCATTTATAGAACCAAATATACAGTTCAATTTCCAGTCCATTTATCCACATAATGTCCAACAAGAGTCATTTTCCAATTTGATAGATATACATTAGAATTCACAAGTGATGGGAGAACAATAAGCCTGTCACATGTCCAAATCACAAGCTATAGTATCCATGTGGTCTGAAGATTGTCCTGATCATGATATCTCAATATTTGAACTACAATAACCCCAAAATATAAATATATTGTTTTAAATCAGCCAACAAACTTGGTGTAACTACAAGTCGCATAATACCATGCATAAGAGAAAAAGGAAAGGCTAGAGTTGACCACATACGCTTTTATTCTAGTTTTTAGAGCTCCAAGACTTTCCACTGAAGTTGAAAAATCAACAGAGAACTCAACAGAGTCACTCATTTCTGGGCTTCTATAGAAATTGCTGATTGGTTTTGTAGCCAAGACTGAATTTGGATAGTATATCTTTTCATTGTCATATCTCAAGAAGACTGTGGTTAGAATGTTCATCTCTTCAACAATCATCTGCAATTTATAGCTTATCAAGAACATGTAACAACATTGAACTAGTACTACTAAAAAAACATGTTATGCAGGCATTTACCTGAACCCCATCAATGACACAACGGTCACCAACATCAAATGGGTGCATCACAAACACAAATATGATAGCTTCAAATACTGTCTTGCAGGTGTTTCCAAACATGAAAACCACCAGAAAAAGCTGAGATGAGATGAAGACAAGCACTTGGGTAGTAACAATTCCCATCAAAAGAAGCCACGCAATAATAATCACCACAATGACAACTGCAGAGACTACTTTATTCAACTGTCTTACAGCTGTATTTGTATCATTTAAGGAATGTGCTAGTGACTTGCGTTCAAGGTAAACTTTTACCTGCATGAAAGAAAGAACTACCGTTATGGAATAAACTTTTATTACACAAAGCAGAATATACTTTTGGTTTTTTCATGAAACGGCTTATTTACCAGGTTAGAACCTTCTTCGGTAACCTGGTAAAGAAGTTGTTTCATGTAAAAGCAAAAGGAGATGCTTAAGTATGATAATGTTTGTCGTGAGCAGCCCCAAGATTTGGTACCATGTGCAGAAGCAATCATGGAATCTGATGGAATCAGAAAAATAGAGAAATCAGCACACAGGAAGATAAAATTTATCGGCAAGATGCCTACATCCATGGGCAGAGACGATCAAATTAATCCACTAATAATGCCAAGAGTACACGAATCATTAAAAATACAAAAAAAAAAGTCATTTTTCCCAAGAACAACACTTTCTCCCCAAATCAACAGTCTTCCCAAGAGACTCTTCCTAAGAGGCAACAGATGATTTTCCATTACAAAACAATCCCCACACCAAAAGAAACAAGAACCCCAAAACAAAGGCAATGTAGGGCCAGTATGCTTTGGGCCTGAACTGATGTGAAACAATAAGAAAATTTGGTTTAATTTCAATCATAACTAGGGTTTGGATCTAGAGTTTAGGTTTTTAAGGATAGGGATAACTGGTAAGTTTATGGAAAGTGGATACAAGTTTATATTGGGCCATGGGGCTGAACAATTTGAGTGTAGGGATGGATCTGGAATTCCTGCAAATATGCAAAATTATTATTTTTTTATCAATAACAGAATCTTATATTAATAAAATAATCAGGATTGCATACAGATCTCCAAGGGAGATAAAATGATTTAGCTCCCCCCAGAGAACCTGTTATGGACGCATTCCTCGGAAAGACGTACCATCGCCACCGGCAGCAACAAGAACTTGACCCACCGCCAGATTAGACTAGATCATCTTGCTTGTTCTTATCTTATTCTATTGCTCTTATCTTATCTTGTTAGTAAGTTATCAGATTAGGATTAGTTTATCTTATTATCAGATTAGGATTAGCTTATCTTATTATCAGATTAGGATTAGTTTATCTTGTTATCAGATTATGATTAGTTTATCTTGTTATCAGATTAGGATTAGCTTATCTTATTATCAGATTAGGATTAGCTTATCTTATCCTTAGCAAGATAGAATTAGAAGTCTCCCTATTCAGCAAGGAGACTCCCTAAGATTAGGACTCTTGTAATTTCCTATTTAAGGAGACACCATTATTGAATGAGGATATCGAATATTCAGTCAAGAAAGAGAGTAAAGGAGAGTTAGATGATCTCTTGAACAAATCACCATTAGGGCGCTTAGATAGGTCCATCAAGAGCAGGGAGGAACAAGGGAAAACAGAGGGTTTTCCCCGTGGACCGACCCGTGACGAGATCCTATTCGCGGGCCCATAACAGAACCCGAAGAGAAATTACAGAATAGCCCAGAACAATTGACTCCTTCCCACCCCCTGCTTTGCCAAGTCATCTGCAAAGGCATTAACAGTTCTCTTAACCCATTGAAATTAAATTTCCAAGCCCCTAGTTAACCACTTATCCTCTCTCACCTCATTAGCATACATCCAAAGTCCACAATCCTTCCTTAACCAGTTTAATACTAGTTGGGAATCTCCTTCAACAATCAGCTTTTGAACATTTAGCTCTTTTGCCTTCCTTAAACCTTCTATTAAGGCTAACATTTCAGCTCTAAGAGAGTCACCGCTCCCAATGGAACCTGAGAACAATGCAACCACATTCCCATTTTTATCTCTGAATACTCCTCCTACACCTGAAAGTTCTGGGTTAGCCTCACTGCTCCCGTCAAAGTTTAACTTCACAAATCCTTGGGTTGGTGGAGACCAAAGGGGACACACTTATGAGTGAGCTGATTCGGAGGATGCCACTTCCTTCCAACTATTAAGCAACATACCCGTAGAAACATCAGCAAATAGCTCCAAAGATTTTAGCCACTGCACCACCCTAACTGTTATAACTTCAATCATTTCTTCTTTCTTCCTTTCTTTGTCAGAAAAGGTCCTTAGGTTCCTTTCCTCCCACAGAATCCAGCATATGGCAGCTCTCACACATCTCCACATGATTTTACCTCTTTTCTTAGACCACCTAAAGAATGAAGCAGAAAACAAGCCTTGTATACTTGGAGGAGGGATCCACCTGAAGCCAAAAAGAGCCATAAACCATTCCCAAATATCAGAACCAAACAGGCAAGAAATTAACAAGTGGTAGGGACTTTTACCATTAGCCTTGCATAGGATGCACCAGTTTGGAGACAAGCACCGATTGGGCCTTTTCCTTTGGAGTAAGTTGCAAGTATTGCATCTTTCCAAGCAGGCCTCCCAACAACAAGCTCCAATCCTCGTAGGAATCGGTTTACCCCATACTTCCTTTACCAGGAAAGCTTGGACAACATTATTAGCAGGTTGAGCTAAAGAATTAAAGAAAGAGGAACAGGAGAAAACACCAGAGGGGGATAGAGTCCAAATTCTACTATCACTCTTTCAAAAGTCCAAAACTACCCCATTCAAGATTTGAATTAACTCCAAAGCATTTTCAAATTCCAACTCCCTAAGGCCTCTTCTAAAGCCCAAATCCCAATCAACACCAAAAAAGGACTCAGAAGGGACCAAAAAAGAAGACACAGGTTCCCCTTTGTACCAAGAGAGAGAGGGAGACAGAATAAGGAGGGAAATTAAAAGATCTTCCTAGAACTTCATCTAGTTTCCAGAACAAAGATCATACCTGATGTGCTGCAAGGAGGGAAGGATGGTGTGTATAGCCTCTAGGGAGAGCCTCTAGTAGACCTTGTCACCAGTCCAGAGTCCCAGCCGTCATCTGCTTGCCTATGGATACTCAGTATTACTTTAGCCCACAACTTATCTCTGTCCCATGCTAGCCTCCAAACCATTCGGAAGAGCAATGTGCAAAATTATCTCGAGAGAGAAAAACTAGAAAATTCAATAATATCATGAAGTTAGAGTGTAATTTTTTTTCAAATGGTTCTAGAGGGATGTTTTGGATGGTTAGCTCATTTTGAAATGGACTTCCATTGAGTTTAAGGCTAGGTGATATATTAATAGAGATTTCTCTTGAGGAAAAGTGCAAGAAATCTAGGATTCTATCTGAATATTTGTAAGAAATCACCCTAGTTTAGGAAAATCAGTCCTCAGTGCAGAACAAATAAACTCCTCCAGGTCTTTGATGACTTATAATGGCTAAATTCAAAAATTAATGAAGGAGAAAAAAGAAGAGAGGAAAGAGGAAAAAGAACATAAGAATCACTGCCAAGATTTTCTATCTGATAAAGATGAATAGGTTGCAAAGATTTCAGAGCTCCATATTTATCAAATATATAGAGCTCCATTGGAAATTTAATAAAATATCTATTAGGTTCCTTTTCTCCAGTTTTTCCTAATTTTTTCTCTGCTTGCTTCCTTTCTTGGCATATTTAACTTATTTTTTGTTCTCAGTTTTCCTTTCTTTTTTCATTGCTCCTTGGTTAATAGTCATCTCTACCATTTTATCGAAGATATCTTCATATTTATTTATTCATAATATAGAGATACAAAAGAGAACACTAAAGATCTTTTGTTTTTGTTTTTTTTTTCACTTTTTAGCAATTTTGTGCAAACTTGATTTGATCAGGAAAAACTTGTTCTAATTGTAACCAGATCCAATTAGGACAAGTTTTGATTCAGATGCTTCCACTGAGCTAACATGCTGAAACCACTAAAAGAAGCTACAGCAGAATACCATATTCTTGYCTGTATGATAACTATTTTGGGCTTTTTGGGTTTTCAGTTTTTACCAAACATTGCTTATAGGCTGTCTTGGTGGGAYCCACCTTGTAAAGCCAAAAGGCACTGCATGTAAGCCCTTCTAAACAGCCACTAAATACTGATGTTTCCTCTCCATCAATGGAGCATAATATCATGTGGAATGTCAAACCTCAAATAGGGTGGAGAACTCAAAGACTCTCCCTCAATAACCAAAAAAACATAACATGTATTTATAGATTTCTCAAGTTGAGCCCTTCTCTCACGAGAAAACACTAACGGATATCCATGATACTTATTTTGGTTTAGTTTCTAATTGTAGAAAATCAAGATTCAAAGAAATTCTGATAAAAGCTTGATACCCTGACAACAGAAAACCATGACTACCAAAATAGAAACTACAGCGGAGTCGGTTTTTTTTTCCTTTTTTCTTTTCTTTTTTATCAATACACAGTGGAGTCAGTTTCCAAAACAGAAACCACTCGTTAAGCATGCAATTGGGGGTTGCCTTGGAATTCAAGCAACATCCCAACAATGCTGTTTCTTCAAACACCATTTATATAGTTTCACAGTTATGTTGCAATCTGTCACCATGTGAACCATGACTAAGTGTGGAATATGCCTAACAATCTGTTGAACATTTGTATGGTTTAAGAGAATGGAGAATAAGAACTTATGAAAAAGTTAAAGGGATACACAATATCTTACCACCCAGTTCCTTAAAGCTGATTTCTTAATCTTTCTGGTCTCAGCAGCTCCTTCAAACAATTGCAGTACATTACCTACTTCCTCCTTTTTCAAGAATCTCTGGAGGTCCTCTTCCTCAATATATCTAGTCCATAAAACAGGAAATGGTGAGACAAGTCAATAATAAACCATCATCAGAACTTGAATAGCACATTTAAAAGATCTCCTCACTTGCTACCAGGCTTTGCAACGTTCCTGAAAATCTGATAAGCAGCAACTTTTGCTTCCCACTCACTGGTGATTTCCTTGTCTTTCTGCTGACCTCCTTCATCATCAATGCTCTCATCAAGTGTATTTGAGATTGTTGACAATCCTGAAGTCCTTATCACATCAATAAGCCCCCTCATGGTCCAAGCAGAAACCTTCTCTTGCTTCATTTTTTGAAGCTTCACAACATCAATGACTTCTTGTCCTTCCCCCTCTTTTCCTTTCTTTGCATTCCTGAAATTCAATTGCCCCGTACTATCTGAGCTTCCAACCCTCTCTGCTAACTCCATCAATGGAGGCCCAGAGAGGATCTGAAGGACATATTGATGGAAGATTGATTCTTGAATCCGATCAAAGAATGTAGTAACATGGAAAGAAGAAGCTAATATCTTTAGCAACAAAGTCTTTATCATCCATATAACTGCTCCGATCAGAGAAGATGCTAAAGCTCTAGAGACATAATTCAGAATCTTTGTAGTGTGCGCCGATCGTTTGACACCACGGTTGATCAACAAAGCCCAAGTAAGAAGAACCAAACCCAACCAAATGCAGACCTGAACACTTTTTTTCAACCCATAGACAAAATAAAGAACCTTCTTCCTAAGCAAGAAGTTCTTTTCAATCAAGAAAACCAAAACATTAATAAACCACTCCGTAACCAATCTACCACAGAATATAACCATTACCAGTACACACCATTTCCAAATTCCCAAACCCCAAATCATGGTGTTTTCCAACTTGTGGACGGTTAAGCTCGCAACTAGGAAACTCATAAGGCATATAAAAGGAATCCACTCAATTAGAAGCCTAATTTTCAGTTTCTTGCGTGGTTTTTTCTCCACTGGAACGTTTTTGTAAATATCTTCGTCATCATCATCTTCTCCTATTCGCCCAGGTGACGCCATCAATGGCGTTTTTGGTGTCACAGGAGCTGTCCGTAAATTTTCTCTGGGAGTTGTGGAAGTGATACTATTAGTCGGAGAAGCCCTTTTAGGCGATGACAGGTACGGCGGTTTGGAAGCTTGGTTCGGTAAGGTGTTCTCTTCAACCAGATTCACTGTAGTAGGACCAGACAAATCAACAAATCTAGATTTGGGTTTGGAAAAAACAGACCTCGACATCGACTTTCTCTGAACTAAGCCTTCTGTTGAGATTTTGGGAGGCTTGTTTGCACTTGGAACAACCTCTGGCATATCTGGATAAGGGCAGCTCATGAGTGTTGACAGTTGCATTTCGGATTTAAGTCCGTCCAGCTCCGAGGGTCCTGCATTTGAAGCTGGAGATCCCAAGCTAGTATTCTTCCGAGCTAAAGCTTCTGAATCCTTCAAATAGGAGTAACAAGCTCCTGCATCTTTTGATATGCGTGTTTTAGCTTCTCTGTTCGCTTCCGAAGCTTCTCCTTCGCCTGAGATCATTACAACCACTTCAACCCCATCATTAGCGTTCCTCTTTGCGACCGTTTTGTCAGTGTTCAGAGTAGCTTTTCCGTTAACGTCCATGGAAAACCACTGACTTTCTCTCTCAATCACTGCAGCTGAACAAGGAAAAACCCACTGTTACATCCCCATTTTTCAGTGAAAAATCGAGTTTTTGGTACAATTCCGGCCAGTAGTTACCTGAGCAAAGCTGCGATAGCTTTGAATGCAAGACAAGTACAGAAGAATCACTTAAAAGAAAAACACTACTTTTATCTTCTAACAAAAGTCAAAAGCAGTTCTTCATCTCATAAGTTCACCGTTCTTCTATTCTTTCAAGAAAAAAAAAAAAAAAAAAGATTTTAGGCTAGTTTGGGGTGTCAGCGGCCGGAACAACTGTATGTCACGTTGGAAATGTTGCCTCCTCCCGTGATGAATTGGCTTGCAGAACACAGAGTTCGTAAGAACACGTTGGGAACAGAGACTACAGAACTGCCATGAAACCCGCAAGGAAGAAGGAAAACTAAAATGTCAGAGAAACAAGTCGGATTTTGAGAAATGGAGATAGGAGTTTTCACTTTTCCGGCTAATTATTAGGGTCAAGACAATGTGAAAGATACAGAGTCCCAATAGATGAGTATGAGCTATGGACGCAGGAGAGTGTCAAGTGTGGGACGCCATTGTTGACAGACAGAGAGAAACGTTTTGCTGTCTCGGTCGTTTCGAGGCTACGATGAAAAACCGACGGGAGAGCTTTGCTTAAAGTTTAAACAATATAAAACGGCGGGCCTCATTTATGTTGACGAAAATGCCGCTGTATTTGTCCTGAACAGTAAATACCGCGCTTTAAGAAATTAATTTACAAACCTTCACTCTCCGTAATTTGGGGCAGCGACACAAAGCCCCTTGAATTCTCATATTCCAATACTTTGCCCCTCCATTGGTCGACCAATTAGCATACCATCGGTTAACTTAACAAACGAAACGACCGTTATATGCTGGTTAAATATATTTTTTGAAGGCAAGCAAGCCTGTCATCAGAGTGATGACAGCTTACTTCATTAAGAAAACTGCTCGGTATTACAATACGAAGACAAAAGTATCAATAAGAAATTCAGGGGGCAAAGACCAAGTAAAAAGAGAAGAGTGGCCAATTTGTGCGCTGCATGGTTAGCCCCACGGCCACGAGAGATCCAATGAACCGAACAGTGAGGGATGCTCGACATAAGGAGTTTGCAATCTTTAAAGATGTCTGAGACGAAGAATCTCCCTCGCTCGAGAATGATAAAAGAGACTCCCAATTCTACTGCAAAAAGGAGAGCTAAGCGGGCTGCCTGAGCTTCGAGCAGAAGTGGGTCTCCAACTCCAAGAGGCAAGTTAAGCTTTTGTTATGCACGTTCTGTAAAATGAAACCAGCTCCACCCACACCAAATGATTAGAAGTCCCATCAAAATTAAGCTCGAGAAAGTTTGGGGGAGAAGCTTCCCAACACCTTGAATGAACTGTAGAGAGTCGAAGAGACACAATACCCAAGGCATAAGGGAGATTGGACGAGATAAAGTTTATTTGGGATTGAGAGGCCAAAACCATTGAAAGAGGGTTAAAACTTTAAAATCAACCCGGAGATCGAACTGATCAAGAGTCTGATTACTGGGTCGAATGGCTTGACCGTTCAATTCGAATGGTCAGTCCATTCTGACAAAAAAGTAAAAAGATTTAGAAAAAAATAAAAAATGAAAATCAGGCAAACGATTCAAATGATTAATCACCCAGGTCAGTAGTTTGTTAACCAAAATCAACGATTTTTATAGAAAATCCGATTTTAAAAACCATGGTTAAAAGTCTCACCTTCCATAACAGTTTTGCAACGAGATTTCCAAATGTTTAACATGTAGATTGCGGCTTGAGCGAAAATAGACAGTTCAGCCAAAGATGTTTGAAGTTTGAACATCTAGATACCAGCAATTCGGATCAGATCGGATCCACCACGAACAATTCGGATTTGGAAAACACCCTAATTCGAATCCTACCCAATCCGTTTTCATCCCTACGTGCCATTAAGGTAACAATCTTTTTCAAAGATAACTGATGGAATATGAATAAGGGGAAAATATTGAAATCTAAAATTCAAAGGGGTCACTTTTGTAAACGAAATTACGAAAGTTTTATAAAGATATGTAACTTACCCCTTTTGTGGGCAAATGTTGGTCTTTCTTATCCGTTGTACGGATACTGTGCAAGAAAGGATAAATATAAACGTCATTATCCATACATGAAAAGGAAGTATGTCGGCATTGGGTTCAGTGATTCAGTACTCCTGTGTTAAATATGTACATTACTTTAGGCTCGTAGGATGGGATGAGAAAAATGGAATATTTTAAATATATATTTTTTATTTGTTTTGAGAGAAATAAAGGGATGGAATGAAAAAAATATGGGATGTCAAATCTTAAAATCTTAAATTTGAGCGTGTGAAAAAACTTGAGAAACCACTATTATCATTGAAAGAACCATTGTTACTGGCTTTCTTCTTCACCAGATGCTGGCAAGGAACTAGTGCAAGGGGCAGCGGCAATCAACGAGGGATATGCGGCGATTTCCCTCCATCTTCTTCTTCTCTCTTCTCCCTCACCTTCTTCTTCTTCTTATTCTTCCCGTCTTCCTCCATTTCCTTAATTGTTGTTGCAACTCTCAGCAGCAGTGATATGCTTTTTCAACATTCATATTCTTCTCGTCTTCACCATATCTGCTTTCTCAACTCTCACCGCTGCAACTCATGGAGCTCTATTCTTCAACTCTCGGCAACTCTCGCCGCTGCAACTCATGGAGAGCTCCAACGAAGAACCAGCCCGTTACAGTGTTTTTTTTATTATTTTTTTATTTATAAAATCAAACAATGAAAAGATAAATTTTTACACTTTCTCATCCTATCCCATCTTTTCCCATTCCACTCAAATCTTCTCACAAATCAAATGGAGCCTTATGAAAAACAAAATAAAAAAATCAGAGTTCAGAAACATATATATTTAACTTAATTATTTCATTTACATTGAAGCAAGGTTGAAATGGTGAAAAGGCAAAATGAACTGAAATAATGGCCGAAACATTTCAGTTTGAACCAAAGAAAAAACATTAATCCCTTGTACATTGAAATAAATGGTTCCCATATCCACTGTTGGGGTGATTTTAAATACTTTTAATATTATGAATATTATTTATATCCACAAAAGGGCAAACAAGTTAAGCTTCGGCCAATTCAGCAATTAAATAGTATAATCTAATCTCTTTGACAACTCTTACTTACTCCACTCGTCCGTGCTTGTCAACTCATTTGCTGAGATGAGCAATGAACTTCCATCATATTTTTCTTTTTCACAATTTGTCGCTATCTAATATTTAACCTTAAAATAGTTTGGTTTGGTCTGAGACTTTTTTAAATTAATCTTAATTTTTTTATTTAGTTTAATTTTAATTAAATTTTAGAAATCAAATCAAACCATAAGCTGTATTAAACCAAATTATATAATACATATATTTCAACATATGTGTGTATGTATATATTTATTCAACATTTAATCAAGTGGCACTTGATAATATTCAATTTAATATTTGAATTATATTTGTTATTTATATAGATATTCATCTTATTTGGACTTTCTAATTGGTTCAAGTCCAATTAAATGATTAAAAGACTCAAAAGTCAAAACCATATTGTTTTTTTGTTTGATTTGAGAATTTCTAAAACCATAATTTATTGATTTAGTATGAAATCTTTTTCAAACCAGACCAAATGATAAACTAGGCTTACTAATACTTATTGACCGTTGGATGGAAAGCAACGGGTCAGCATCTAACAGTTCTAAGTTTGACCGTTGGATGGAAGACTAAAGTCATCTAAAAAAACCATCTCAAATTCTCAATGAATTACTTATCTGGCATTCAATCTGGCAATATTTTTAAAATCTAAAGCAACGTGATGGATGTGTCAAATATGGTGAAATGATGTTTGCCCCAACCTTCAATAATATAACACTTCATTCTGAAAAAGACAGATTTAAGTGAAATGATGCCATTGTAACTTTGTAACTCTATCTATAACTTTAAAATGTCTCAAAAGTCAAAATATTGTTTTACCTTTTTCATTTTCTTGTTCTTTAATTTCTAATGTGGGTCATTTAATATTTAATTCCCCCTTTTCCCATATGTCTTGATGTGAGATGTGAGATGGGAGTGTCAACTTTTCTAGGTTTTATTGTTTAGTCATTCTGTTTTGATAAAATTGACAGTAGCTAGGATAAATGATTTTAGAATTCCTTGGGTTCATGAATGATTGTTGATCAGTATGATTGAACCTGAACATAATCAATCGTTCTTCTTCTTCTTTTTCATCTCTCTGTATGTATCTATATATAAGATAATAGTTGATCGGTAGGTTGCACCAGAGTGGCTCATTAATCCATGTTCTGAGCCAGCTTGATGCTATGTTGTTGTTTGGTGTTTCCTATGTATTGTTTTGTGGTTGTTGTTGTGTTTTTGTTTTAATCAAAGTTATACCCAATAAAAAAAGCCAGCTTGGTGCCCCGTTTACCTGCTTACTATATTGGCTGAAGGAATGGGAGGGACCATTGCCATGTAATCAAGTAAAGGTGGGTTAGGTAATCCATCATCTCTACCTGTTTCCAATGATGCTATTGTCATGGATGGACCTTTCTCTTCTAAGAGGTCCCTAACTAACTTGATTAGTTCATCTATCATATTACTTGGTATGACAAATCTCTAATTGGCAAGTGTGAAAACATGAATTCAAAATCTGAGAGTGATCACTTAAAATGTTAAAACCATATCCAATTTACAACTCCCAGAGCCTCGTGTAACTGGAACCAACATTAGGTAATGGCGAACCCAACAGTCATCTCTAAATTGTATTGTCAATATGGTTCAGTTTGAAAGGAATATAAATGCAAATATGTAGAGTGCAAAACCTACAGATACAAGTTTTGCACTGTACATATTTGTATTTGCAATGTAAATAAATTTGCACTGATGCAAAATTATGGCAGTGCAAATGGTTTGAGTGTAAATTCTGACCTATTTTTGTTTCAAATTTTAGCTTGTTTTGTTTGATTGCAGTAAAAATGAAGTAAATTAACACATGGAAGTAGAATGAAGTAAAATACAAAACAAAATTAAATGAGAATTTGCATTTTCTTTATTGCACTCTCATCCATTTGTACTAGTGTAAATAAAATTGCACTACAACCAAATACAGCCTAAGGCTCAGTTTGAAAGGAGTACAAATACAAATATGTAAGGTGCAAAACCTAATATTTTGTATGTATTTGCACTGTACATACATTATATATATATATATATATTTGTGTTTGTACTCCTTCCAAACTGAGCCTAAGTAAGTTACAACTGTAAAATAAATTGAAAATCAAAACCATGCAGCAATGTTTTTGAATCGCCATTGACTCGGACGGTTGGACCATTCAGACTAAAAACTGTCCAACCAATTGGTTTTGTTTTACCCCAAGCCCGGCCCATGGTCAAAAACCATTGAATTGGTCAACAAGCCATCGACTCGAGCGATCGAACCATTGACTCATTCAACTCGTTCAACGGTTTTTGTCCATTTTTTAATTTTAATTATTTTTATTTTTTTATCAGAATGGACCGTCCATTCAAACCAAATGATCGAACCATTAACCTAGGAACCGGTGGCCATAATGGTTCCATTTCCGAGTCAATTTTTAAAACATTACCATACAATAAAGCTTCTCATTTCTCAACCCCAACAAAATTCAAAGTTTCAGGAGAAACATCTATGGATAGGCAAAATATTTGGTTGAATTGAAATTCCAAAAAGGAAATCCTATTTTTACGACTTCTGAAGCAATAGTCTTCACTGAAACGATAGCCTTCACTTTTCGGATACAAGAAAATATCTTCGTGATCAGAACTGCTCTCTAAATCGACGGTGGTGATATTGTTGGGGGTATCTCAACAACTGACCGGGAAAAAAATAAGAAAAAAAAAGAAGAAATTAACAAGGAAAAAAAGCAGGAGAATAAGGTCTTATCGTGGTGGGAGAACCACGCCAGTAATAAGTGTGGTGACTGGAGTAGTGGTATGACTAAGGATTAAAGAACTAAAGGCTGTGGAATTGGTAAGAGTGTAAAGTACCAGTGCATTGTAGTAAATGCAAAGGGGTACAAAAACCATGACTGCAAATCTGGTTCAATTATACACTGGTGTTTGTACTCATATTGTATGTTTTAGGGAGCAAAATGTAGGTACGTTTTTCCACCCATTTGTTTGGATAAGGGAAATAACCACAAGAAAGTCAAGATTTTAATAAGAAGGTTTAAAGTTATTTGATTATTTACATCAATGATGGGATGATGCAAAAGCTTGTGTACATATTTTCAGAGAAGACAAACTTCAATGCATGTTGACATCTTTTTTTCAAGGGAAATTTGTATCTCAAACTAACAGACATAAAACTTATCCAAAATGCATATTTCCATTAGTTTGGTTCATTATTCGCATCACAAGCTAAGCACTTTACCTTTTTTTTTTTCTTTTTTTCTTATTCTATCAAACCAAATACAAGTTAAAAGGAAGGCTTTACGCCCATGTATTGATTTTGCACATAAGTCTTACATGTTGAGAAGAAAATTATAGTTGAATTTGAATTGAGTTGGGGGCCTTGGGGCTGGATCAACCCCTATTGGGGTAGGGGTAGTGGGGCTTTTCTCTCTTGGAGAGGGCGGGCTAGCTACACAAGGGTGGCCCACCATGATGAAGTCGGGACTCAATTCAAAGTCTTTTGCAAATACCCAAATATATATATAAAAGAAAAAACTATGTTGCTAGAAAGACTTAATATCGCAAGAGTTTTGACCAATTAAAATATGTGGTATTTTGATATCTACCACTTGATTGCTTATTACTCCTATGATATTGGTTGATTTGATGCAATTTTTTTTCTAGTATCATAGTTGGTTCGTGCTATTTACCAATGTTTTAAAAATTGACCTTGAGGTTGAACCGTTTTTGTCTTCAAGTCATGGGTCACCGGTTTAGTCGTTCGAGTCGAATGAATCAGACCATGTCACATCAACATATATGTATTTAAGGTATATATATATATATGTATGTATGTATGTATGTATGTATGTATATATGCATAAATACATATTTTATCCATAAATAATGCATAATTATGTTTTATATATGTTATATGTGTTATTTTATATTTAATTTATGTATTTTAATTCAGTTTTTAATTTTTTAGTTATAAAAAAAGTCACCCCAATTGGATATCAAAGTGCAAAGTTATGGCCTCTGAAAATTTGCATGCATTGAGTGTGCAACTTGCGACTTAGTGACCAGGTCAAATGGACTGGTGGGTCGGACAGGTTTTGACCAAGTCAACGCTTTTTGACCGACTGACAGGTTTTAACAAAACTGGATCCATAATCCTAACTGAGTGACGGTTTAAACGGTTCAACTACCCGAATCAACGACGGATTAAAAACACTGCTATTTTACATGTGCAAGTATTGAGTAAAAATATAGGTTAACATTATGCTACCAAATCTAATTTTATGATATACACTATGGGCTGAAGGTGGAAGTTTGAAGTTTTGCCAACTGGGCTAGAAAGGCCACCTTAATTGTGAGATCTTGTAGTTATAGAGCAAAAAACTAGAATTATGTAGAAGTGATTAACCTACTTTTTCATTTGTTGCATGATCATGCAAGGAGCATCTTCCTCAATAATTCTTGGCCCAGGCTGCACAAACAAGGGTGCCCCATCCCCTAAACCCATAAGGCCATAATCAGCCATGATGAAGGTGGGATTCAATCTCAAGTATTTGATACAACCGAGCCAATTGGTACCTCAAGGGGAGAAGGGTTCTCATGCCACCTATATAATGGGATGGTTTATGTATATGCTATTATTTATTTCATTTCACGGGTTAGGGAGTAGGGCTGATCATGGGTCACAAGTTGGGCTTTGCACCTATGATAAGGGTTATAGTTCGGGACCATGCCCAGTTTGGTCCAAATCTCAAGCTTAAAATATACAATTAGGGCAAGGTTAAGGTGGATCTGAATGGGGTTTTAGGCCTATATCATCAAACACATTACATTATATATATATATATATATATATGTGAAAAATTATGTTATTAAAAACATGATATTAGAAGAGCTTTGACCAATCAAAATCTCCTATAAATTTTGTTGATTAATACTAGTGTAATGGCATGTACTAAAAAAAGGTCAATATCATTTTTATATAATAATAGACATTCATTACATATAATTTATATGCATAAAATATGTTATAAAATTATTAATAAAAATATTATATGTAATATAATATATGTACCATTTAATAATACAAGTGTAAGGACACCTACTATACTATACAGTAATACAGTAATAGATAAAAATATAAGTAAACATTTTGTTATCAAATTTAACTTGATTGATTACACCAACTCCAAGGCAAATATATGCTATGTATATAGATATATACTACGGGCCACTAATGGTCAAAGTCCAAAAGTTTGCGGGCCAAACTAGAAATGTTCAACTTAATTTTGGGGTCTTATAAACGAGAAATCTAAATAGCATGAATGTGATTAATCTACTTTTCATTTGTTGCATGTTCATGCAATCCCAAGTCTTTGTTACAACCAACTAAGCCACTTGGTACCTTTTAGGACAGTAGGGCTCTCATGCCACACCTATATAATGGACAACTAATGTATATGTTATCATTTAGCTTTTTCATTTCTCTCATTTCATAGGTGTCTTCGGGTAGGGATGATCATGGATCGGGTCAGGCTGACTTAGCGCCTACGATAAGGGTTATAGTCCGATTTGGCCCAAACCTCAGGTCTAAAATAGAAGCCAAAGATTAGGTTTAAGTGGAACTCGAGTTGGCTTGGGCCTATGTCACCCCACCCTGACCCGATTAGGGTAGGGTTTTTGAACACTGATTGGGTTGGGGGCACGTTCCAAGGAAGCTTAAAACACGGGTGAGTGGTGACACAGAAGGGGTGGGCCTCGCTGGGGATGAAGTTGTGATTTCTAACCCCATTGGAGTATGGAACCAGAACGTGATATGTAAAACTCGACCCCACTCTGCAGAGTTGCCATCAAAACGGGCTGAATGCAGACGGCCGAAGCTCAAAAATTTTGGGCCTCCAAAAAAAAGTTGCGGGCCGGGCTAGAAATGATCACCTTAACGGCTTTACCGTGGGGTCTTATGGCTACAGTGTCACACACGAAAAACCTAAATTACGTGAACCTGATTAATCATTTAATTTACCCTTTCATTTGCTGCATGATCATGCAAGGAGCATCTTCCTCGATAATCCTCATAACACTGTCGTGTTTTCTCTATCACACTACTGACACCACGGAGTTATTAACTGAGGATTTATGTGCGTTTCTCTAACTCTGCATTCCGGCCATACCATCGTCTACTGCTCAAAACGGGATTTCCAATTTTCCATTAACCACCGAAGGGGGTTCCTGTAAACGAAGGTCGTTTCTCCGGCGAGCAGAGCTGTCTTCCGGATTGAAAGGTTTTTATAATATTGTTTTCCGCTTTCTTTTCCTTTATTATGCCATCGAACCCAAATTTCTGATTAATTATACACCCTTCAGATTTGGATTTCTCAATCTATTGCGACATTAACTAAAAGTGTTGATATTTTTCATCGTTTTGCAATTGAAACGAAAAAGACACTTTGATTTTTGGGGAATTATGTTGATTGTCCACCTGAATTCATTAATCATCCACTACCTTATCGAAAAGTCCTGCTTTAAAAAGTAGATAGAATATAATGATGAGATGAATACATTAATGGTGAGAATCCATACATGATGTTTCATGTGTCTATGGAGAACTATGCTGCCTATACTTAATCATCACCATCTAAGCCTTTCCCCAACTATATGGGGTGGGCTACACGAATCCGTTTCGCCATTCAGTTACTGCTCAATCTGGTGTTTTAGACATACTTATCAGAAGCAAAGTGTTACGATCCCTTTGTCCCACATTGGTAGTATGGGATGCTAATGTGAGATATCCCACATCGGTAGTATGGGATGCTATTGTGTGATATATATGTGCTTTGGTTCCCTCCCTCTAACAACTAGCTTTTAGGGGCAAGTTCTCCTAAGTCACATACCAGAAAAAGTTGATGCACGGAGTAATGTTGATACACAGACTCAAGTTCTTGACAAGGTTGCTCAATCAGGTCTTTTAGACATGGCATTCCGACAAAATTGTGATTAATTACTAATACATTATGTAAATGGGAGGGGGCCTGCCATTCGGATAATTTAGTAGAGAAGGATGAATAACCAAGTATCTAACATGTGGAAAATAATTTTCAGCTCAGAATGGCTCCATACATTCTACTCACTATCATTTATTGGCGGACCAAATTTGAGCCCCATAATCCCTGCTACTTGGTCACAATAAAGCCCTATTTTTGGGTAAGTTTAGCATTAAAATATTCAAACATTCAATAGCCAATATTACTTGTGGAAGAAGCTAACAAGAAGTAGGGTACAAGGCTTATGTGACTGTAGATTGAGTAGGTGACCTATCCAGAGGGTCTACTGCTAAATGGATAGTGGATTGGTTTCATGATCCCCCCACCCAACCCTCACCATCAGCAGAAACAGGGTTGGCCATACAGGATAGCTCCATGCTTGACCTGACTAGAGAGCCTCAAGCATGGAGATTCCCTGCTTGTCCAACCTTGTTTCTGCCATTGATGGGATGTTGTGGTTGACCCAGGACATTTATTGGATAGGGGATCCACTGGAGTAACCACATGTTCAATCCACATAGTTCATATCAGTCATATGACCAACACTGTGTTGGTGATATTTGTAATTAATGTTATCCATTCATAGTTTGTATTGGTATATCAGCCATTATGTTTACATTTTTTCAGAAGGGGGCATTGCTTGGTGTAATGGTAAAATCTCAGGCTGACAAGCATGAGAATGTCAGTTTGGGTTTGAGAGTGGACACTTTGTGTGGAAAGATGCCAAAGGTTAGGTCCATATCTAGTCTACCCCTATCAATACCCCATATAGTTGGGGCACATATAGGGTAATGGCAAAAAAAGTAGCCATTCAAAGTTTTAGTTTTATAGTATAAGAATTACCTATAAAAGTGGGCATATTTTGCAAGTGGCAGAAAGGAGAGTGGGGAACCAAAGTTTAAATTTTGGTATTGTGTTGAGTTTGGCTTGGCTTTCAAAGAAGTCAGTTCAGAATTTCAAGCAAAATATCAATTGCATTTTTTGTTCTTTCGACTTCTTTTCATTTTCCATTGTCTTTTGCCACCTCTTTCTCATCTCATCTCTTATTCAACACACCTTATCTTAAATAATTATCTATTCTCCTATTTTGTGTCCATTTAGACTGAAATTGTATGGGGTTGTTATTCTCCATATATTTGGTTTCAGTCACTCTTGAAACCAGAATGAAATCTCAGAATTTTAAATATTTTGTTGAAATTTTTATATTCTAGTTTAATTGTTAAAATAGCATGGTTTTTGGGTTATGGTGCATGCAAGAGATGTGGCTATTGTTAAATGGTTTGATTTGATAAGTTGGTTCTTCATGAGTATGGATTTTTGTTTTTATACATTTTTTCATATAAAAGGCACTTCCATATTGCTATGCTGCCCAGTGCCCATGTCTTTCTTTTGGAGTTTGATGGAGATTTAACGATTTCAAATCCCACTCTTAACATTTAATTAGAAATGCTCTTCTGTCAAAGTGGAAGTTTGATATATTTTAATAAGTTAAAAAAGAAGATATTATGAAATTTGAGTGATGATTGCTTTACACTTGAGCATCACTCATTTAATATTTCACTTAACTATTAGTGGTTGCTTTGTTTTGTTTGTTTCTTTGTCACTATTGTATACATCATTTAGATATATCTAATAATTGGCCAAGCTTTACCCATGTAGCCCAAGGCACTATAATCTCTGCCACATATCAAGTCATTTGTGCATGATCATAATCTCTTGTTGGTTTACTCGTATCTATGGCTTCTGTATTCAATGTAGACATGTAGTGCTATATCTTTTGTCTTGATGTTTCATTCATCAATTTCCATGTTGAGTTTCTGTCACAAGTAAACAGCTTTTATTTCATGTATATCAGTTTCTCATTTATGGATGTCTAATGCTAATTTTTTGTTTTTCTACTTGATTGGCAGTTTGATTCTGTGCTGTTATAGAAGTGAAAATTTAATCTATCTTCTCTGTTAGCAGGTATATCCAGGGAAGATGGGTATCATAGAAAAGATTAAAGAAATTGAAGCTGAAATGGCACGGACGCAGAAAAACAAAGCCACAGGTTCCTTTTGTTTTGAAAATTTGATCTTCCTCGAAGTTCTATTCTAAATCTCTCATGCATCTTATGTGGTGTTTTTTTTTTTCTCTTTTTGATTGTTAATAATTATGTTTTATTGAACTGATAAAAAATAGTAATATTTTATTAATGAGAGTGTGGAAAGTGAAATGCGACTGTATACCCCAGAAAAGGGGAAATATAATAGAGGCCACCAGGAAATTCACAGCAGTAGGGATAAACAAAAAGAATGAGCCTGGAAATGATCCTGAGAGGGTGATTTCCTGTATAGCTCACTCCTTTCCAGCCCATTCTTGGATAAACCATCCACCATGGAGTTCACTTACCTTGATTCATTTGAATGAATTGTTCACTCTAAATGTCAAAACTCTTGTATCTCTTGTATGATGATGTAGCAACCATGACCCTTCTGATATTTCCTTTGTCCAACTAATGAGTACTTGTGAATCACCATCTACCTTCACCATGTGCAATCCCAGAAAGAACACCAGTCCATGTCCCTGAAGTGCTGCCAATTTCTCTGCTTCAAGAGAATCTTCAGAACCTATGGTCTTGAATATACAAGAAACTCATTAGTCAGCTCACCGCCTTAGACATTGGAGCACCTGGTATCCCAAAAGAACATTCATCTAAGTTTAACTTGGTTACATCTTGGGAGGGGGACCCCGCCTCATTGATTGCTTGCAAGTACAGGACCTTGCTATTACTTTGCCAACTCCTAAGTCCTAACAAAAGGATCCTCAGACATGTCCCTATACTCTCTCTTAGCTCAGGATCCAAAATCACTCCGATGATGATTAAGTTAATGATCACTTTTCAAGGTTGCTCCTTATTAGAGAGGAAACTGACATTTCTCTCTTCCAAATACTCCACAATTAGCTGCCCCAGTCAGTTGGTCAATATGCATGATATGGTCACTGCAAAGGCCAATGACTAAGCATTAACCAGGTTGGCTAATGACTAGTTTGCCTGGTTGACCACAAAGCCATTTAAAGTTTTAGTTGTTTGTATTTACTTCTAATTTTTAAAATGGTATCATATATTCCTTTATATCATTGTCTGCACACAACTTGCTTTAAGCATCTGTTATGGTTTGTCATTGAGGGAACAGGGAAGGTATATAAAATAGAAACAAGGCCTAAAATAAAAGAGAAGTGGTGGAGGAATGCTTTTATTTTTTCTTCTAATCACTAAGTGCTGCTATTCAGTCAACATAAACAAAGGAACCTTTCGAGCCTTCTATTTTTGCAAAGGAGAAACTATGTAATAGTTGTTTTATACCATATCATTTATTACAATTTTGTAATATTTATCATGGTTCACACTATCAGTAAGATTTTACAAATTCTCCCATTTCACTGGGGAGTGGTACAAACTATTTCAATAGTGTTTTTTCCTTCATATTACTGATATGTTGGGGATATTTTAAACGTTGTTGATAAATTAAACATCTAAAATTTAAGATTTTAGCATATTAATGAAAATTTCTGACATTTCATTAAAGCCAATGAAAGATTTTGGAAATCTTTTCTTGAAAGAACAATGGGGATTATGTGTTTGGATGACTGACTTACTATTCTAATCTAATGTGATTCACTTATTATGTAACTATACTTTAAAAAAATGATGAACAATTGGTAAGAGGATTCTCAATCTGATCAAAACATTCAAAGCATATGGTACAAAAAAGATAGAAATCAAAATGTCAAGTAAATGACCTACATATAGAAAACAAGAAAAATAAATGGGGGACAGAGATGTCTACTTGAGTCTCTTAATCTTCTTTTATTTGATATGGTAGTTTGCTATGGTTTTTTTGAGTCTTAAATGTACAATTATATTTCTAATAATCTATGATGTCTCGTAACAAATTTTATGTTTTTAGTAAATTCCCCTAATTTCTTTAGTTTTTTTTCCCAAATATCTTAATAAAATTAAAAAATATCCCAGAGTTTCCCCATTTCTACGTGGAAAAATGTTTTTCAATATTAAAGTTGTGCCTTGGTTTTTATTAACTTACATACAAGATTGTGTCATTATTCTTAAATATAGAAAATATTTTGTTTGGTGGTTGACTAGTCAACACATAACCACCAACTAGTTGCTGTACCACCAAGTGAGGGCAAAACAACTAGTCAACACCTTTGGTACAGTTCCACATGGTTTTATTTATTTATTTATTTTTGATAGAAAACAATAACTTTTTTTTTGATAGGAAACAATAACTTTCATTAACTTTTAGGAAGAAAATTACAACTGTCACCTTCAAAAAGTAAGGTGACCCCTCATATCACAAACATCTTATAAACATGCCCAAGACAAAGTTTCCCCATTAACTCATTGCCTTGCTAATGCAACAGCCAAACCATTTGTTGACCTCCACATCACCGTTTGATGCAGGAGCTGAAGAGGCAAAATTGGAATTTTATGAAAATTTATGTGTTTCTGTATTTTTGGATAGCAGGGGTATTTTCGTCATTTTACAATTTCTTGTGGGGTCCAATGATAGGGTTTAATTTGTCTAGTTATAGTTTGTTTATGTTTAAAATTTCAGAGTCATTGCATAAGTAGGATTAGAGTTTTTGAGTCTTCCTTGAATTGAAATAGGATATGCCAGCTTAGTTTGAGTCCTATTAGGATTATTGAGTCTAAGACTCCTATGATTATTATGAGTTTAGAGTCTATAAATATGAATGGACGTTTTACACAAAGGCAATGAAATATATTGAGTTCTCTTCAGCTTATGCTAACTACGGTGAGTGATTCCCATGCCCTAGAGTGATTCTAGGCACCTTGTGAGTGATTCCAGGTATTTTCTCTCTTCTTTATTTTCCTATTTTCTCTCTTATTCCTTCAAGAAGCCATTACAGCCATAAAATTCTGATCAAGAAGACCATTCAACATTCTCTAAGGACTAGAACTGAGCTGGTCCTACATCAGTTGGCATTAGAGCTAATGGTTTATTCACTATGTTCTCACAAAGTGGTCAATTCTATAGGCCTAGGGTATCTTCTAAACAATCTTACATGTCTAAAATCAATGTGATTGGGTTTCTGAACCATATGAAGGTTCTTTGGTTGCCTTATTTGAGAAGATGGTGGAAGAAAACATATCTAATAGTGTTAGCTACGGGAGTAAGGTTTTCAAACATGTTAGAAGAGAAAGGGAAATACCGGATTTTAAAGGAGATCATGATCCACAAGAATTCTTTGATTGGGTTGCTGAACTAGAAGAATATTTTGATTGGCATGATATGTTTGACAAACAAAGGATTAGATTTGCATGCATGAAGCTGGAGGGTCATGCTAAAGTATGGTGGAGAACTCTTGAGCAACAACTAGAAAATAGAGGCGATGATCCAATTAGTACATGGGCAGAGATGAAGAGGCGTTTGTAAGAAAATTACATCCCACTATACTTCCATGACGATCTATATATGGAGTTGACTAATTTCAAGCAAAAGAAGCAGCAGAAAATTACAACAAAGAACTTGAAGTCATTGGGAAGAAGGTACAAAGTTGAAAATAAAGTAGATGATTCCTTGCATGTTGATGCCTACCCTAGAGCTGAAGTTGAGGATGAAGTTAAAGAAGAAGAATTTCAAGCTATAGAAATTGTAGATATTAAAAATCAAGAGGGTGCAGACCAATAAAAAATAGAAATTGTTGGAGTTTCCAACACCCATGATCAACTTGAGGTTAATGATTAAGAAGAAATAGAAGTGGGGCAAGTTAAAGAAGTTCAAGTGCAAGATACAAATGTGCTGATTGTAGTAGATCCTAGTAAGGAAGTAAGTGGCTTTACCCTTCAAGTTCAACTAGAACTAATTCAAGAATTACAACCTGACGTAGCACAGTTCCACCAACATCAACAGTGGAAGGAGTCCTAGAGTTTGTTGAAGAACCAAGGATAGAAGAACACATAGAGATGGTGACTCCTAAGCTAGAGGTTGAAGGATAGGTTCCAAATGTTGCAGTTGAGAGTTTGGATAAGCGAGGGGAAGATTCATCACAATGGTTGATTGATGAATTAAGTGTTCAAGAAACTAATGTTATCGATGATTTAACAAAGAAGGTTAGGGAATGCAGTGTTTCAGAAATACACTTCTTTCAAAATCCTTCTCTAGTTTTGTGTATGGCCTCTACTCTATAGTCCAAGCATGTAGCTGTGGAAAGTCGTACATATCAATTTTTCATCCTCAAGTTCTTCAAAACTTAAGGATGAGTTTTTTTTTGAACTGGGGGAGAATGATGCAGGAGTTGAAGAGGCAAAATTGGAATTTTATGAAAATTAATGTATTTCTGTATTTTTGGACAGTAGGGGTATTTTTTGTCATTTTGCAATTTTCTATGGGGTCCAATGATAGGGTTTAATTTGTCTAGCTATAGTTTGTTTATGTTTAAAATTTCAGTCATTGCATAAGTAGGATTAGAGTTATTGAGTCTTCTTTGAATTGAAATAGGATATGACAGCTTAGTTTGAGTCCTACTAGGATTATTGAGTCTAACAATTTGACTCCTAAGACTATTATGTGTCTAACAGTTTGACTCCTAGAATTATTATGAGTTTAGGGTCTATAAATATGATGGACGTTTTACACAAAGGCAATGAAATATATTGAGTTCTCTTCAGCTTATGCTAACTATGGCGAGTAATTCCCATGCCCTAGAGTGATTCTAGGCACCCTGTGAGTGATTCCAGGTATTTTCTCTTCTTTCTCTTCCTATTTTCTCTCTTATTCCTTCAAGAAGCCATTACAGCCATCAACAGCCATAAAATTCTGATCAAGAAGACCATTCAACATTCTCTAAGGACTAGAACTGAATTGGTCCTATATCACTGTTCCCTTCTTCTTTCGTTGTTAGAAGAAGCTAGAGTCAAAAAGGTCCACCACACTCGAGGGAGTAGTCTGCCTGTAATCAAAGAGAGAGGAGAACGAATCCCAAATATGAGTAACAAAAGGATAGGAGATTAATAGTTGATTCACCATCTCACCACTATTTAAGCAAAGGCTATAGGCATGAGGGGATAAGCACCAGTTTGGTCTCTTTCTTTGAAGCACATCCATAGTATTGATTTTTTTGAGAACCACTTCCCAATAGAAAGCTCTAACTTTTGGAGGTACAGGAGCATATCGCACTTCTTTAACAGGAAAAGAGATAGCCAAGTTAGTAGATTGCAAAGAGCATTGAAAAACGAAGAACAAGAAAAACAACCTGAAGAGGACTTTGATCACATTCTAGTATTCTACTATCAAGACAAGACTGATCTAGAAACACTTAGTTTAGAAGAGAAAACAGTTCATCTGATTTCTCTAGATAGTAGTCAAACTCTTTTTCCCATTTCTACATGGAAAAACATTCATCAATATTAAAGTTGTGCCTTGGTCTTTATTAACTTACATTTATATACCAGATTGTGTCATTATCTTATATTTGGAACATATTTTGTTTGGTGGTTGACTAGTTAGCACCTAACCACCAACTAGTTGCTGTATCACCAAGTGAGGGCAAAGCGAGTAGTATCACTTTACTGCATTAATAGTACTGCCTCTGGTAGATTTCCACATGGGTATATTTATCAAGTATCATATATTTCTTCCTGATTTCTCTAGATAGTGGTCAAACTCTTTTTCCCATTAAGTTGCTCTTCAGCACTGCAAGATTTAATTGATTTCACTGGATACAGAATACCACCTTGGACAACTCAAGGCAAAGATTGCAAAGTTAAGGACACAGTTGTTGGAGCCTCCGAAGGTATGCAAATTTCTGAACCTTAATTTCATGGTTGATTTTCAAATTTTTCCTAATCACAGGCAGAAAATTGTTTTAATAAAAGAGGAAAAAAGATTTTTCAATGGTTTAAGAAGAAAACAAAACACGAGAAGGTATAGGGATAACACCAACATACAAAAGAATCCCCAAATAAAATAGAAAGATTAGTATTGATACAATAAGATAAGAACCTGAGCAGCATTTTACATAAGGCCTAGATAGCCCAAAAATTTCCTCCCCAAAAACTTCAAGTTAGGAAACTCTAGTGGCACCCAAATACAAGAAAAAAGGGGAAATTCATCTAAAACTACATGATGGGCTTATCTTTGACAACAAAGATTCTTGAAGATTTCTCTCCTATCATGCACACCCGAACAAACAACAAAAAAGATGATGCTTCAAAATACTCATTTTTTTTTTCTTTTTGCTTTGGATTCACCTGAGATGTGAGGTCAGTTTCCAAAGATCTTTTGAAGATTTGTTGTGTTGAACCTCCATATTTGAATGAAAAAGGAAGAGCAGGACGATAAGAAAGATGCCATTTGGTAATGAATGAAAAGTCACCTCACATTTTTCTCGTGCAGCCCACTTACCACATTCAGAAATGCCTCTTGAGATTGTCAATACTCAATAATAGTGCCAAGAACGAAAAAAGTGCATCCACCCTGGGGAGCTGTCTCTTTTCCCAAATACCACAAATCTGAATAACTTATGCTCGGTACTCAATGCATGATGAAAGGATTGCATAGTAAATAGAAAACTGAAGCACTCCTTCCACCATCAGGCATATGGTTTGGATGAGGAAGTGGAGGCTTTCTTTAGTCTCTTGAAAAGGGGGACACACTCATTATTTCCTGTCAAGCAATGGCCTAAAGGTAGGAGTCCATCATAGGTGAAGTAGAGGGCACCCTCAGCTAGTGGGTTGCCTTCCTCAAGGAGTTTGAGGGAATCACATCAGATCATCTTAGAAGACAATGGGACTTGATTTTTGATTCCTCCTTTTATATTGTAGGAAAGGACCTATACCTTCTCCCTACATGTTTATTTACAGGTCCTTTCTTGATGATGTCTCTCTTCAATGTGTTTGAAGGAATCTCTCCCTCTTTTGAATAAAATTCATCATACATAAGACAAAGGCACAAAGGTAGGAGACTGAATTGCCTCCTCTGACTCCAAACACTGGCTAAGAGTGACATTTTTAGAGCTTAGGTGATACAATCTTGAACAAAAGTCACATAATCTGTCCATTTTATACCACTATCATCATAAAATACCACCTCTCCCCATTACCCACTGCAGAACTTGAATCAGTTATAATATGACCTTTTTGACCTCCTTCCCCAATTAAGTCATAGTATGTCCTCAATTAAGTCAGTAAGTCAGGATAAGAACTGTCTGAGTAGTTTCTTAGTCTAAACTGTAAAAAAGTTAATAGATGCTGGACAATCTATCCATATGAGATTGGGATCTAAAGGTTCTAAAATTAAAGATGGAATCTAGACTTGAAGTTTTAATTGAGGTTTAAGAAGCACAAAAATCAAAGATTTTAGGGTTGGTTAAGTAGCAGCTTAGGTGCATCTAGACCTTGAAAACAAAATGGATAATCAAGGTAGATCCAGTTATATTTAAGTTAGGTCTAGTAGTAACTATAGTCTATAGGTATCAGCTTAGAGAAGAGTGGCTTTTTACTGGCACCCATGATCTCTCTGCCAAATCCTTTAAGCCCTTAGTATGGGAACTTTGCTACCATGACAAACAAATAGTGGTCTTTTTTTTTTTCTTCCTTTCTTTTTAAATCTTCTTCAGCATTCCATTTCCTGGCAATGCAAATTGTGACCCTTCTTGGAGAATTTTGGGTGCCCCTACCCCAGATGTGCTTGTATAGCTTTAAATTGACCCTCACATCCTTTGTTCCCATGGATTTCTGTGCAACCTTCCTGATCTCTTTTATGGCCTTAGGAGCCATCTTCTAGAAGGTGCAGTCATGTAAGTGCTTGTGAAGGTCTTGTACTCCCTAGTAATAATCTTCTCCTTTCCTGCCCTTTGTTTTCTCCATTTTTCACAACTCCATAACTCCAACCATGCCTTGTGAAGGATGCACCTCTATATATTTGATTTTTTCTCTACTGGAATAAGCTATGTGGTTGAATGATTTCTTTCCTCTTTTTTTTTGAGTTACTTTTATATCAACACTTACACTATCATCCTGCATACTGTGCTTTGCCCATTAATATGATTCACTTGGTTTTTTGATGTCAAAAAATTATGAAGCAGGGTTCTAGTGGTGGTGGAGAAGGTTTTGAAGTTACAAAATATGGCCATGGACGTGTTGCACTGATAGGATTTCCAAGGTCTGTGGTCTGTCACTTAGTTGGAATTAGCAATGTGATTTGATTTATACAATGTTGGGGGCTATTGTTTGGTGCAAGGGTAAAACCTCATGCTGATCGAGGTTTAAAATGTCGATGTCGATGGAAATGTCGCTTACCAAATTATAGGACATATGTCGGAAATGTCGAGGAGAAATATTGTCAAAATTAGAGACATTGTGGAAATATTATGAAATATGTGAAAATATGCAAAGATATTTTGTAAAATGATAAAAGAAGCATGAATGCATATTTCTAGACTATTATCTTATTCCCAACCATTATATAAAGTTAAGAAACTAAGATCAATAACAAATTAGTAAATGACGATTTACTGATTTATTATGCATTTTGATGTTTTTACAAGGTTATCAGATATTTTCTTTTCTTATTTTTAATTCTGATTTATTATAAATTCTAATATATTTATTTCACACTAGTAAATAGAAATACATTTATTCTGATTTTTTATATTAAATGTAGAATATGATTTATTATAAAATTTAATAAACATTTTCTGATTTTAATAAATATTTTAAAAAATACTAACTAGTTAATATTTTATTACTTGAAAAATATTTTATGTTTTATATTATAAAGTAATTAATTTATTCTTTTGTTTTTATATTTTGTTAATTCTTTTTTATAAATATTTTGTTTGAAATATTAAATAGAAATTATTAATGGAAATATTATTAATGTACATTAGTTGACATCTTGTCGAAATTAGTTGACATCCTGTTGACATTAGTCAACATAATAGGAAAAACTGCATTTTCTGACCGAAATAATGTAATTTTTATATTACCATCCATTTTCATGTCGGTGAGCCTTGACATCGACATATGTCGGGCGACATTAGCGACATTTGGCGACACTTGAAACCATGATGCTGATAAGCAAGAAAGCGCAGGTTTGAGTCTTGAGAGTAGTCACTTCTTGCTTTTAAGTACCAGAGGTTAGGTCTGTATCCACTATCCATTCCACCCCTACTGATGGAGGGTAATCAGGGGACCTGAACTGGCTAATGGCCTTATTTGATTTATGCAATGCAATTCTCATGTCAATGGAAGAGGGCATAATTTCTACCTTTTGATTTGTGGATCGGTTAAAGATTCAATTTTAAAAGTTAGCAGTTGCATGCTGTCTGATTGTCTTTAGTACTATGACTTGGGAGAATATAAAAGAAGGTTATTTTATCAGAAAATGATTCTATATAAATGTAATAATATGAGAATAAGACCACAACTGATCACCCTTGTAGAGAGCGATAAGATACTTGTCAATAATTCTCTTTAGTTAATGAGAAACAATGTTTTATTAGAAAGAAAAAGACGTGCAACCTATTTTGTGTCATAGAAACTGGATGATAGATTACATTGTAAAGATTTACATTAATAATTGGTGTCTTTTTGGTGGTAGTGTGGGGAAGTCGACACTTTTAACTTTGTTAACGGGAACACATTCAGAGGCTGCCTCGTATGAATTCACAACACTTACCTGCATTCCTGGCATTATACATTACAATGATACTAAAATTCAACTTCTTGACCTTCCTGGAATCATTGAAGGAGCTTCTGAGGGAAAGGGACGTGGTAGGCAGGTAAACCACCTAGAATGTTTTTCTGTTCTGTGCTTTTGTATTAATTTTTTATCTGAAAATATAGATAGTACTATCAGCATGTAAAACATGCATGCCTATTAATTTTCTTTTTCTCCTAAATGAAATAAGATGATTTGCTGAGAAGGCAACAAGTTTTGGTAAGATTTGTTATATTTTCCAAATGGAGCAGATTCTTATTGTGGATAACAATAGTTCAGTTAATGTTTTATCTCTCAGGTTATTGCAGTTTCCAAGTCATCAGACCTCGTACTGATGGTTCTTGATGCCTCAAAGGTGAGTCCTGATTTTGTACTTACAGTGTCTTTACTGTTACCAACTTACCAATTTTTGGATATGTTTTGTAACCACCTATGGTACTTCTTTGCTGTTTTGTCTATTATAACTAAGATGATAATGAATTGCCATCTTTCTTCTTTTTGGTGTTTTGACACATGGAATTCAAACTCCTTATGGCAGAGGATCCAACCAAGCATGAAAGAACTAATTTCATCACCTTAATGCCTGGAACCGCCCAAGAGGTGTATTGTTTTTTGTCTTATCCATGATTGATGTGATTCTGGGGTGGAATCACAAGTGAATTGTGTTTCAGACTTTCGTGGATCATGTTTCACATTTTATTGAGTCTCATCCAACGTCTTGAGTCCTGGTTCATGTGTTAACTTGCCATTTCAAATGGATTGACTGCAAGCCAAGTACCAGTTCATTGTTCTCTTTGTTCTCTTTCTTTCTCAGTGCAAGTTTAAAACAAGGCAACAACTCATCAAAAGCTGAGAAATAAATGACCGAAATAATTGCGATCAATTTCATTTTCCCTCAATTTCTCTCAATTCTCTCTCGCTCAAGTCTCATCCCATATAATATAATAATTTTAAATTTGATCAATAGAATTAAAAATAAGTTCCCCAATATATTTCTACCAATTACATTTGATTCCCCTAATTAGTTTAGCAATCTGGCACCCTGTAACATACACTCATATCAATGGTTAACACTCTTGTACAAATCAATAAGGGCACAAAGAATAATAAAAATAAAAAATACATATAGACATGTATATTAACAAGTATAACATACATGTGTATATCTTAACACCCAGAAGTGGGAGATGCAGCGGATCATGGAGCATGAGCGAATCATTGGAGCTGTGACAAATTGTGAAAAAACTCCAAAAATTGCAGCATATCTATTTATATTATAATATCTTATATGTTTTTATATTATATTTTTGCAATAACATACTTTTATATGTATATGTATAGTGGTGTACATGGGTATATCAATGCTTGTGTTTATATGTGTTGAGCTTATTAGGGATGTTCAAATTTGGTTACCAAACCAAACAGAACTGAATAAGCCAATTTGATTTGGTTATTTCGGTGTTTGGTTCGGCTCAATTTGATGATTTTGGAAATATCGGTTTTTGGTTTTTGGTTTGGTTTGACAAAAAAATTCAACCAAACTGAATTGAAAACCAAATTAACCAAAACAAATACATATATTTATATTTTAATTATAAATATTAATATTAATATTAACATTAATATATATATTAATATTACTATTTATAATAATAACAATATATTTCATTATAAATGTTGATATATAAATAACATACATTTATATTTTAATTAACCAAATTAACCAATTTAAAACCAAACCAAACTGATTTGAATTCGGTTCAGTTTTCAAGTCTAATTTGGTTTGGTTTGATTCATGAAAATGACCTAACTGAAATCTCGGTTAGGTTCTATTTCCGAATTGAACCGAACCGAGCTGACCAAATGAACACTCCTATTATATATGGCAGAGATTTAAAAGGCGTGCTTAGGCACACAGGCAAGGCGCATTTTGGGGTATGCGCCTCGCCTAGGTCCTAGGCGCAC